AGTGCAGCTGAACGTCTTGCAAGAGTAAATAAATATCTTCTTGCTTGTATAAGTATAGCGTTGTCTTTACGCAAGAAACACTAGTATGTCTACTGTATAAAGGCTCATGTTTTATGCATTTGAGGTCTGAGACCGGACCTGCGGAGAGAGGGCATTTGCCATCTAAATTAGTCACAGCCAATAGCCTAGCTACACTTAAATAGCCTGTGCATACAGTAGCATTTCATCTTTTATAAAATGACATTTTGGCCAAACGTATTTTACAACAGGAAAAACTGAGCGCCCATATAGCTTTGTAACCCGTTGATCAAAACGTAATGTGATGCTGGCGTTTTAATGATGGACAAATTGCACATTTGCACACACATTCGCTGGTAAAATACATAGAGACCATAATCCATAATAACTCTTTGAAAGACTGTTCCCAACTAATTTAAAGTACATATAATTTCAGCATATTTTCATTTGGTTGGACTATTCCTTTAAGTGTTCCGCACAATTCCAGAAACAGAATTGAAGCTCAGTGATGTTGTGAAGCATGCGCTAGATGGAGGCAAACGCCGCGGTGCTAGTGAGCGTCCGGCGCATCGTGGTGAACAATAGTGAATAATAGTGAACACCAGCAACCAGCGCGGAATCCTCATCAGCAGCGTGTCTGTGGTTAGAAACACGCCACTATGATGGTAACTAATCAGAAGTTACCTGGAAGTGTTTTGTTTGCCTGTTTGTGAATGCTTCATAAACGCGTGACGCGACGCGACAAACGCACAGCGCGCGCTCTGTGGACTCGAGTGTCGTAACGCGGTGCTTTCTGCATTTGACCCGACAGAACACGAGCTGCGCGCGAGAAGCCACAAGAAGAAGAAAGGAAAAAACAGCAAAAGCAACGCGCTCGAGTGAAAAGAAAGAGTTTTTCCAGCCGGGAATCCCTGAAGACGCGGCGCGATCAGACGCAATCACTGACGCAGCGCTCTCCATCGGGGCTTTAGGATTCAGTTCACCTGAATTTAGGCAACACTAACATTAAAGTTAAAAAAGAAAGAGAGGGAGAGAGAGAAAAACATTCTGGAAGCTGACAGAGTTTGAAGAAGGTGCATCATTAACTACGGTTTTACAGCAGAGGTAAAGCTTAATACTGTGCTGAACATGTTTTAGGAACTGAGAGAGAGAGAGAGCACAAGTTTTTAACCTGGTCTTATTCATTTTATTGTTATTTCTTATTGTTTATTAAAAAAAGTATTTTTATTTATTAATTTAATTGAATAATTGATTCATTTTTGTTTTGCTTTTGTATTATATGACCATTTTTTGTTCATTGCTCATGTAATGGCCAATGCTTTGGCAATACTGTACAAGTCATGGCAATAAAGTGCATTTGAATTGAGAGAGAGAGAGAGAGAGTTAGAGAGCAAGAGACACACACAGAGCAACAGAGAGACACACACACACACACACACACACACACACACACACATAAAGGGGGGGTGATTCTTTTCTATACCCACTGTATATATAGCCGCACACTGTAGTGCCCGTTCCCAGAGGTCTGCTTTATTATTAATATGGATTTTGCAAAGAGCAACAGAGAGAGAGAGAGAGACACACACACACAGCAACAGAGAGAGACACACACACACACACACACACACACACACACACACACACAAACACACAGAGACACAAGAGAGAGAGACACACACACAGAGCAACAGAGAGAGAGAGAGATAGAGAGAGAGACACACACACACACAGAGCAACAGAGAGAGAGAGAGAGAGACACACACACACACACACAGAGCAACAGAGAGACACACACACACAGCAACAGAGAGAGACACACACACACACAGAGAGCCACAGAGAAGAACACACACACAGAGCAACAGAGAGACACACACACACACACACACACACACACACACACACACACAAAGAGCAACAGAGAGAGAGAGACACACACACAGAGAGCAGGAGGGAGGAGGGAGAGGGAGGTCCAATCCCATACAAGGCTTGAGCGCAGAAGGAAAAAACAAGAGAGTATTTGCAGGATATTCTCACAGCAGGATGTGTAGCGGAGCAGAGAGAGACGGAGGAGCACATGCAGCTGTAGTGAGACGCTGAGGAGACCAGCATGAGACCGTCAGCAGCAGAGAACAGCACAGGAGCAGCACACTACTGAGGTGACACACCTGCAACACACCTGCGCTTCAGCGCAATCTCACTCTGAAGCCAGTCTTATGTTTCGGATGTTTGCTTTTCTGATCTCGCGGTTTATGGGTTTCCTTCGATTGGCACAAGATGAGTAATTGCTGGAGATCAGAGGGTTAATTTCTGCTGAAACATCACCCTCTGATATATATTTAACACATAATGTGGAAATGGAGATTAACCTTTAATATTTCTGCTGTGCTCACCACGTGTGGGCGTTCTGTTCATGTCAAATATCAAACACAGAAACCAGACCAGTGCATTTGAGACAGGAGTGACACATCTATTGACATCGAGAAAGATTCAATGTTCCACTTCAGCAGACATCACTGGAGTTAAAAACAGAAGCTGTGATGTGAGCGCCTGTGGAGTGATGTCATGTTCATGTCATTCATCCTCATTCACTCACTCTTCTGTGTCTCTGCAGCATCATGGGCACGCGTCTCTGGATACTGATGCTCGTGGTGAACCAGGTCTCTCCGTACAGACATCCAGCAGAGCCTTCGCCCTGTCAAGTGGTGAGTTACAGCATCTCTCAGTTTGGTGTTCAACTTCTGACTCAAACGGCCTTTTGGTGTTCTCTCTGAGTGAACAAATTACTATAACGACTGATGATCATGTGCAATTCTTTGCCTAGAAACTGAACATTTTCTGTGCCAATCAGATTCCTAAAGTCTTCCTAAAGTAGTTGCTTGAATTAAATGTCTTTGTTGGCCATTAAACGGTCAACCTGTTTGAAAGAAAAACCACAAGTGAGACCTCTTTTAGCAGTGAAATTGGAGTAAATGGAGACTTTTGCTCAAAAGTGTCTTCTCTAGAATTTCAGACGCTCAAAGCCTTGAAATATAACTCAACAGTTTCTCATCAAATCATCCGTGTTGCTCCACAATCATTATATAGCTCTATAGACTTACTGTACACTCTAAAAAATGCTGGGTTGTTTCAACCCAACTTTGGGTCAAATTTGGACTAACCCAACTTTTGGGTTAAAAATGTAATGTAAAAATTTAACCCAACGGTTGGGTGAGTCCATATTTGATCCAAAGTTGGGTTGAAACAACCCAGCATTTTTTAGAGTGTAAGACAACTATTGACTCGCTTGTGCCTGTTTCCTCAGGGTCTATAAAATGCTTCAGTATTAATTAAATAGATTCACACACATTGGCAAAGACCAAATAGACCCACAACTAGAGAACCATATTAGGCAGAAACATCCTCCCAGTGCGTCCAGTGAGGATGGTGGAGACGGCACGATTACAAGTCTTAGACTAAACCATAGAGTCTGATAAGATGAACTGATTATAGCAGGTTAGTGAGTTCAGGGCAGGAAATCTCCTCTGACCGTGTGATTGGACATCAGTGACACACGGCTAATGAGCGCAGAGGAAGTGTGTGTAGGATGAAATACATCAGCGCTCCATTACATCTCCATCCTCTCGCCGAACTCTGAACTCGGCGGAAATTAAGGGTCGGTCCCAGAGACGAGGGAAAATCCTGAAACACCGTTCCTGAGCCACAGTTATCCAGAGAGCATAAATAATGTGTGGCTCAGGCGTGTAGATGGAGCACAGATAGTGTAAACTGAGAGCTGCTTTCAGTCATTCGTCATGCTAAAAACCATGGGGTCTATTGTGTTGAAATATTCCAGGAAACAGCTGTATGATGTCATGAGTAATGCACGGTGTACGTCAGTATGGTTTGGACATCACTTGTGGTAAATAATGTTGGCTAACAGCACTCATTCTTGTTGGTTTAAGGTCCACGAGGATGTCGACTGCAGCAGTCTGAACCTCAGACGGGTCCCGGCGCAGCTGCCGGCCTTTATCCACCTACTCGATCTGTCTCGAAACCTCCTGCAGAACCTCACGGGCCGGGAGCTTCCGGCGCTCTCCAGCATCCAGCATCTGAACCTCCACGCCAACAAGATCCAGTTCATCCAGCCGGGCCTGTTCCAGGACACGAGCCGTTTGGAGGTGCTGGATCTATCGGGAAACTCGCTGGACCTTTACGCGGCTCTGAAAACTCACATCGGGCCGCTCAAATCACTCCAGCATCTGGATTTGTCCGGAAACGGTCTGTTCACGGATATGAGCGACTATTTCCTGAGCGACGCCCCGGTCCTCACCAACCTCTCTTTAGACGGGAACAGCATTACTAAAATAAGCAGGCACACATTCAACGGATCTCAGGCTTTAAGAAACATCGACCTACACAATAACGTCATCGTAGAAATCGAAGAAGGTGCTTTCGAGTCGCTGACGGGGCTCTCAGAACTCGATCTGTCGGTGAACTCCATTTCATGCATCACGGACTTCAACCTCGTTCAGCTCAAAACGCTAAACTTGAGCAAAAACAGCCTGACTAACTTCCAGACCGTTGATTCAGATCTGGAGTTCAAGCTTCTGTATCTGGACCTGAGGGAAAATAAAATCCTGTACTTCCCCGTGCTTCCCGAGAGGAACAAACTCATGTACCTGGACCTGTCCAGAAACCTCTTGAGAAGCGTGAACTGCTCCGGTCCGCTAGAAGAGCTGGAGAACCTGAAGGCCAGTGGGTATCTGTTCACTGACCACGACAAACCCCTTTGCCTTTGCGTCAATCAGAGGCACCAGGATCTTCCCAGGTTGCTCTACTTGGACTTGAGCTACAACCAGCTCAAAGCGATTCCGTCCTCATTCTTCAGCAGCATGGTTTCTCTGGAGAGCCTAAACATCAGCAACAACTGTTTAGAGAGCTTCAGTGTGGATTCAGAAGGCCGTCTGAACGCGTTGAAAACCTTGGACATTAGCTACAACAACCTGCAGAACTTGTCCTTCGGCGAGAGCACGCTGGCTGCGTTGGAAGTCTTGCACCTTCAGGGAAACGCTCTGAGCACGCTAGACGCCGGGATTTTCTCAAGGCTCCCCAACATACGAAGCCTTCACCTTCAGCAAAACCTGTTTAGCATCTGTCCTTCGCTCAAGGGTTCAATGCACGACTGCATCCGACTGTCCTCTATCCCGACCCTGAGCTATCTGTACCTCTCGGAGAACAGTCTTGCATCGGTTCCACCAGGCGCGTTTCGCGGAACCCCGCTGCTTATTCTGGATCTTTCTCAGAATGCCGACATGGGCTTGGGCCCGTCATCTCTCTCAGGTTTGGAGACGACCCTCGCCCATCTTTCTCTAAGAGGAAACCAGCTCCAAACCCTAGCCGTCGACTTCACCTTCTTCCGGAAACTCAAGTCTTTGGATCTGTCAGTGAACCGACTCACGGGGGTCTCTCTCTGGAGCGGAGATTCTTCTGTGGAGTCCTTGAACCTGCAGAATAACAGTTTGGTCACGCTCGCATCCGACACGGTCTTTGCACTGCAGAAATCGCTCCGGACTTTATACTTGGGCTCAAACCCGTTGAGCTGCTGCGGAAACCCGTACCTCCTCACGTTACTCCAGCAGGACAGACTGAACGTGCCAGACATCGCCGCCGCGACCTGCTGGTACACCAGAGACTCGGAGAGCGTTGAGATCAGCGTGAGCGCCGTGCAATCGGAGCACTGCGAGTCTGTGGACGGGAAAGTGTTGTGGATCAGCGTGATTGTTGTGCTTGCGCTCGGACTGACGCTGGTGTCGGTGGTCGCCTTGAAACTCTGTCACTCAAAGACACACAGATTCAAAAGAGGCATCAAGGCTTGAGTCTGCAGACAAAGAAGGAAAAGAAACCGAAGCGTTCTCACCTGACTGTGGTGCCACATGCATGACAGCTGGGTTTCAGTATGTGATGCGTGGGTGGATCTGGAACAAGTTCAGTGTCAAATCCTGATCACCATCCTTTGCATTCACATAAATTTGCTATTTAAACAGAAATGCATGCAATATTCACAGAATAAACTGGTGAACAGTGAGGGTCACTCGGGACGTGCTCTTGCATTCAAAACCAGCTAAATGCAAGAACACATCCTGAGTGAACGGCCCCTCAGACTGCACAAATGATCTGAATTAGCAAAACAAAACATGTTTTTTTTTTTGTGTTAATACAGGATATCTTCTGCAATTACACTACACTTTCTGATGCACGCACTTTATTGATTGTGATTTGTGAATATGGGAGTGAAATGTACCTGCAATGTGTTTGCATAATGTGAAAACTGCATCAACAGATGCAAGCAGAGGTCAGATTCACTGGACAGAGTTCTAGAGCGAGACACGTGATTGCAGGAGTGTGTTTTCAATATCGATGTGGCATGTATGTTGTGCATTAGCCGAAGGAATTTCATCGGCCGGAGGAAGTGTTTTTACTGGAACACCTGCAGCAGAGCGTCTCTCAGCGTCGCTTTCCTGTTGTTGAGCTCAGTTTCCTTTCGGTGAACGCAGCATTGCATTCGCCTTGATGATTTATTCATTCAGTCTCTCTCAGTGTCACTGAACTGTGTTGGACTGGTGATCAGGTTCAGCTCCGCTCCGAACACAAACACACATCGCCTGCAATGTTTGTTTGGTCAGTTGGGTCTTTTTTTAGATATTTCCAGCCTGGAGCTGAAATAAGTTTGACCCTGGTGTCTATATCAGGCGCGGATAAAGATAGACAGGAAATCCCTGTTGAGGGAAGCGCGCATCATCACCGCAGATATTAATAGAGGTTTGTTTCAGAGCTGTTGACGTGCTAATGACAGCAGCTTCCTCCTGTCCGTCTGAGTCACGGCCACGCCCCCTTCTCAGCTTTACGGAGCTCAACGGCTCTGAACGGCTCCAAGCTGTGATATAAACGAACGCTATTGGCTATTTTAAAAAGGGGCGGGGCTGCTTGATATGTCCCGCCCTCTCA